TACTCAGAAAACAAGAACATTTTTTGTAGTCTGTATTACATGTACTGCTAGGTCATTTGACTGTAAGTGATAAGGTAAAGTGCATTTCTTCACCGCACCTAACATTTTACTCAGATCAGAGAACAATTGGCTGCTGAAATTAGTTCTCTGATTCATGGGGAACTATTCCAGTGCTCCAAGATATGGTATTGAGTGATCATTTAACACAGTATCTACAGAATGAGTTAATGTTTAGACCAATGGATAAGCCTTGGTTCACTTCATGAAGTAGTCAAAGGCAACAATTATATACAAATGACCTCTCTTCACTGAGAGAGTGGACCCGAAATACCCAGGGTTTATCCTCTGTAAGAGAGATTCGGCATTTATCTGTCAGAGTTCACTCAATCTCAGCCATTTCTTTCTCCGGGAGGCACACAGTATTCACACCAATGCCTAATATAATGATTCGAATAGAGCCAGAGGAACTACTGTCAAATGTTAGCACCAGTGTGAGCAATATCTAGGTGTCATCCAGACTTTGTTTTATGCAAAGTCTGAAAAATCTTTTGCTTTAGAGCTCTGGAGACCACTAGCTGTAGCACAGTCTGAGAACCACGACTCAATGATTTATAATAAAGATACAGCACACCTTCCTGCACTCACAACTAATTATACAAGTGCCACAGATTGCGTGCATTTGTGCTCAATTCCTTTACTTTGTTGGATGGTAAGGATCAACCATACTAGATCTGGGACCTTTGTTTGTAAGCTTTATTGATCAAACCCTTTAGTGCAAACTGTCTGTTATGTTCCCTTAAGTCTCTTGGCAGACCCAACTTGGCTCCATTAGTTTTCTATCATTTACTGTTGGTTCTACTGTACTGGAATTATTCAGTCTTTGGCTGAAACTGATAGTTTTGCCTACTTTGATACTCAGCAAATTATGGGCAGTTTAGGCAATAGTGACCCAACATACCAAAAGCAAAGCAGATGCTTTGCTCCTCCCATTCCGAACAACATCCAAGTGGATGCATTTTTGACATAGGCTGTGGCATGTAAACCAATAGAAGACTGTAGTGGTTCAACACTAGACCTGCCATCCAGATACTAGCAATGAGAACTGAATGAAAGAACAGGCCTAAATCTACTTTCAGTACTTGAGATGGTTTATATGAGTTTAAAATCCTGCCATTCGTTCTGTGTAATACATCCACTAATCTTGAGAGCCTGATAGAGCTTATACTGAAAGTGTTGCAGTGAGAGCGATGCCTGGTTGAGGTTGATGATGTCTTGATGTTTAGTAGAACAATAAAGTTTGCTGCTGAGAACATGAGCGTGGTATTTCAGTGGGTACGAAGAGCAGACCTTGAAACCAGGAAAAGTGTACACTCGTACATAAACAGGTAAACATTTTTGGTCATATTGTGGGTAGATGGAGTTTATGCTGACTCAACCCATGATCAAGTGAGGAGTGCACACTTTCTTTGGTTTTTGTCATTTTATCAGTGCTTTTGTAGCCTACTTTTCCAAGGTAAACACATCCGATTCATGTTTTAGATGTAATAGAAGATATAAGCACATTTTACAGTCTGTAAAGTGTGCCTTAATTGAATTTCAGGTGGCAAAATATCTATGAAGAGGTTGTAAAGTCTTACAAAACTGATGAGAATAATAGTAGTAGTGTTGTCGCAGTTGCAGGATGGAGTAGAACATGATCATGCATGTTATTCATATATTGATGGTCCTTGAATTCGGATACTGCATAACAAAAAAAAAATTGTTTGTAGTTTTGGGCTTCATTAACCAAATATGCATGGAACACTGTACTTAAGATGGAATAGACTATAATTTCGAATTTACTACATGTATCTATATGAAATATGGAAGGCTTTTAGTAAAAATTACACGTTTGTTGTTACAAATTAATTTTTTGCGTACAACAAACTTGTACATTTTACTAAAAGCTTGCCATATTTCATATAGATACATGTATTAATTTTGTAATAATAGTCTACATTCCTTTTCAAGTCAGAGTGCAATATGATGTTTAGGTGAAGAACAAAAATAATTTTGTCCATCATACAACTTGCAGATGTAAGTTATATGCATTTATATAACTTTTGAAATGCTTATCTATAGTTTGTTCAGTATCTCTCTATATTGTATCTGGTATTTACTCTCCTTTGTCATGAACTGTCATTAAATCAGCAATGTAGGGTAAAATTAAAAGCTGGAAACTCTGACATCAAATACATGATATCATGTTGAATGGTACCTGTAAAAGGTCCTGACATGTGTACGTTGACAATCAACCATGCACATAGGGTTAAACATTACTGCTATTACCTGTATGGTAGTAAGTTGACCATTCATGTGGACCATATGTCACTGGAAGGATTGACTGCACATTGAATCACAACCCCCTCTGAGTTTGAGCCATGTCAAGGGTTAACCAGTTACTCTCGCATCCTGGTGCTGCAATCAATGCACAGATTTTCAATAAATGGGTAAGGCCTTCTAATGTGTCCAGACATTCAACTGCCATTGAGAGTGGAAAAGGGCATCTATGTAGGTCATCACTTTAAGCCACTATATTACCATGATGTACCCTCCTTCTTCCTGACACAAATTACTGAAGTGGACCCCACTCTGTGAAGACTGCATGGTTCTGTTCTTTTACATTTTGCAATATCTCAAAAATTGGCTACATTTCTAATTCTAAAAAGAAGCTTGCACAGTGGTTGTTTAGTAAAATGTGAATAACCTATATCAATGTGATTACAAGGTACATTTGTTCAATCCACTCGACCCCACAAATACATCTTCATATTCAGGCAATAAATCACTAAGCTTCTGCCCTTGATTATCCCCTAAGTTATTTTGTGTATATATCACAGTCTCTCAGGTTAAAACAAAATTTATTTAGTATAATATACAGAATCCAGAATATTTGTTTTGTAAAAGTATTAACAATTTGTGCATTTGTCTTTTAATAGTTTAATCTCTATCTTCAACTTGGTGTTGTCAAATTTTAAGTACATATCCTGGCTATTCCTCCTATTATTTGTGGTTACTAACTGAAGGGTAATTCAGTATACCTAAGAACAGGGCTGCTGAGAGCTTCCACCAGTCTTGAAGAATTATATAACTAATGCTTATACTTTGGAAGTCAGTTTTGAATTTTCTAGCAAAACAAAATCTAAAATTTGACAGTAGGATTTATTGTGTTAGTTTTGAAACTGAGTTCTTGTATACCTTCTATTCTTTGTCAGAAATAATACAAATAAGTATGGACTTAATTTCTAATGACAGTTCTAAAGACTTATGCATTTCAAAGTGTTAGAAGTTAATGAATTTTGCAATTAAGGATTTACACTTTTTGTTCAGTGGTAATATTTATGATGAGATACAGCTATGGGTTCCAGACTGTTTCCTTCTCTAGCTAATATTTATTCTTCATTTCCATGAAAAGCAGTGATTAGAAAGCTATCCACACTGTTTTTTAAAACATTATATTATCAAAAATATGTGGATGATACTTTTCACTATCTTCAGGAGTCCAGTTCATGTTCCTCCAACAAAGCCTTCACATAAGAGAGAGAGCTTACCCATTCTTCATCGAGGCTGAAAATAAACCCAGTTAATTCAACTTATAAATTTTTGCTAGTTTTCATCTTTTAAAAACTTTAATTTATTACTTCCCAACATTTTATATTTGACAGACGGGACTAATTTTGCTATATCACAGTTACCACCTAACAGTAAAAAAAGTCTAGCTGCAAAACTACGACTTTATTACCATACCATAACTTTTTGTTTATTAAGTATAAAAATGTAAAACATAAAATAATTATATATAACTGTTAATTGTAAGGAATTTTCATATGTACAGCTGTTTTAAATCAAATTGCTTGTACACTCAAATTTGTAAGTTTTTAGATTTTTTTTGTATATGTTATTTTTAAGTGCAAAGCTGCAGAATGGATTGCCAGTGCTGTGCCCACCATAAAGGATTAAACCCTAATTTTAATGTTATAAGACCTCAAGCTTACCACTGAGCCACCATAGAAAAAAAAGGGGGAAAGAGTTTTTAGAAGAAAAAAATGCATCTACATGTTTTTGTTTTCTTTTTCTCATGTACACATTTATACTAAATTCAAAGACAACTGAAACTATGAAGTTTAAGTACAAATATATAAAGCACTAAGTAAGGTTGTGTTCAATTCTAGTAACAGTTCTTGTATTGAAAAGGAAAAAAGGGATATAAGCAGATAATAATCAATTTTTTTGACATTTGAATTTGTAGAGTACTGCGAGTTGTAATGCTATTTACTCTAAACAGTTTAGCAATTTACTTGAAAATGATCTGCTCCATACAACACTAGACGCAATATTATGTATGTAATGAATGGTTTTATGTAAAATGCTAATGAATACTTTGCATATTTATACAATATTTTTTAAAAGAATTTGTTCATAAGGATTAGCAGTTCTCTCACTCTTTAACAGACCATATTAATCAGGTAAAATAAATTGGGAATATTAACTTTGAAGAGCTTTCATTCAAGGGATAAGACAATTCTGAATTTTGTTACTTAAGATGCTGCAGTTTTCACATTTTGAAATGACAGATAGTATCTATTAAGTACATAATACAATCAAGTTTAAAACAGATTTTTTTTTCCTTAAGTATTTAAGTTTATTTACCCATGAATGGATACCAATTAATCAAGAAAGCAGAAAATTATGAAACAATTTTTTTCTTTAAAAGTAAAAGTACTCTTAAATAATGGCATATAAACAATACATTTACAGACACAAAACAGTCAATGTTTTCTTATAGTTTCCAATTGGAAGATGATCCACTTGGGCACCAAGGGCTATATGATGTTCTCTTTTAATCATTAGATGAGGATTGTTTGACCTGAATATTGACATATTCTTTCTCCTATGTTAATTCTAAACATTTTTTATTTTTCAAAATTGCTTTACTATGCTTTAATAATCAAACAAAAAAATTCAAGCATTGACAGATATGATTTATTTCCATAAAAAAAGGTGACTATTTACAAACAAACAAAACTTTTTTAAGAAATGTCATAACCCAGGCCACCCAGTTCTTCAACATCAACCTCTGCTTCAGCTGCATTCAACATGTTCAATGTCATGTCTAAAAAAAGAACCATATAACATTACAAGTTTATCACAAATCTTAACACAGTAAGATAAGCATTCCCTAAACTTAATGATTTTAAGGTTGCAAATAAAATTAAATTTGAAGTTATCTCAGTAGAAGCCTTCTTCAATTTTAATTACCACTACAGGTATCAGTAAGACAATATTTACCACTCTGAGAACTTGGTAAAGTGTAATTTGTCCCGTATTATGGTATATATTGTATTTTTCATTATAGTCACAAAGTAAAATTAAAACTGACTGCAAAATTCTAATTTCATACAAAGGGAAAAAATTATAAATAACTTCATAACAAATCAGAGTTCATTAAAATTAATAACAGTAAACTGGAGGATGTACTATCATGCTTTATCAATGATCAATGTAGTAATTATTAAATCATTAACACATCACTTTATAGGCCTACTTAATAAAGGCTTAACTAATGTTAGGGCTAAGACAAGTGGATTTATAGATTTCAGTGTCTTCTATTAGAATGTTTTTGTATTACTCTAGAAATCCTGTATTTAAAGAAGTTCTGTTGCAATAATTTGGCCACAAATGTTTTGCGGGTCTCTGCTAGTGACATAATAAAGAAAAGAAACCACTATAATAATCAATGACAGCATCTAGAAAGATGAAAAAAAAAACATATGGAAAGAATCTTCAATAAAACTCAAGAGAAGCCAACCTCATTCTTAATATTACTACTTCCAAAAAAATTCTTACATATATACATATACATATTTTCAACTGAAGAATAGTGAGGCATATCTCCCAAAATCAGTCTGATTGGTTCACTATACTGTTAAAAAACAAAAACAAAGTTCACAAAGAATAACTATCAGATAAATTATTCTTATAAACATAAACAACAATACAGTTATCATAAAATATAATAGCAACATTTCATAACTTAAGATGGTTGTGTGATTACCATTAGTAGCTGTAGAGGTTTGCTGAGACTCTTTCTTGCATTGGGGCAGTTTCAATTCAACTTTTTTCACTGTACAAGGAAGTCCTCCCTCATCTCCTTTCTTCTTTATGCTATTTTTAATCTGTGCCCTTCAAAACAAGTGATAATACAATGAAAAAATTTAAAAAGCCATGTATAAATACACTCCACTAGAATAATAATAATGAATAATCCTGAATTACTTTGTCACATAAGTGATATGTTTACAACAGAGGTGAATACAGTGAAAGTTAAATAATGTAGAGAGAGTAATGCAAGTGTATTTTCAATAGTTATGGCAATGAAATGTTTGAATTGATTTCTTTAAACAATTTCAGAATTTTTCTCTTGCTTTTATTACTGAGAGTTAAGATTTCACTAAATATATAGTTTAAAACACGTAACACAACTTGTACATACAAATAATGCACCTAATTTTGAATTACACAAAAACAACTTTCCAAATGAAAATTTTGATAGTTGAAGTGTCTTGTACAAGTGAAAAACATATTTTAAAATTAAGGAGATTGAAAAGATTCAAGAGTGAAGAAATGAAATGCTGAGAATAATGTTCCCATTCTTTCAGACTATCTGAAATCCCACAGTATTACTCTATGACAAACTTGTATGTAAGTATCAATACAGTCATGCTAATGAAATTAAAGAATGGTAGACTTAAGTTGAGCATCTAATTTTTTCAACTTTTAACTGCTTTTCCATTTTTTAAATATCGTTACTGCTACAGAAAAAATATTCTTATTACAGTGCAAGCTTCCCCAAAAAATTTAAAACTACTTACACTGTCCTGTTCTTTATTAAATAACTAATCTTATTAAGATCATCCCCGAACTTCTGTATTGCAGTTCTCAGCATTTCAATTTCTTCATCTGTCCATTTGCCTCTAAGAAAGCATAAACATTTTGGTAATGATATTTAACAAACATAGCTAAATCATCATATAAAACATTTACATATACACGCATGTAGGATATTACACCACATACTAAATAAATCTCTTAGGGCAATATGAATTTTCACCTATGTTTATTCCTAAATCACTGGTAAATGTTAAAATGACAAAAATAAGAATGTAGATCACAGATAATTGAACTCTATTTTCTCAGTTACACCAACTTTAGTTGTCTGTATACATTCATCAGTTATACAGAAACCATCCGGGACAGGTTTTACCATTATACTTTCACCACTGAACAAGTAGTTTTTTTTATTTTTCTCATTGTTTGTTGTGTTCCTAGAAAACATTCCAAATAGATTTCTAGGGAGGATTCAAGTTCCTAAAAATTCTGAACCGTAAGAACTACAAACATTTTAGAATGTTTTGCACTAAACATCAACCAAAACTATATACACAAATGTACAAATCCCATTAACTCACACACCTTCAGTCATGCACACAGTAACAAATGTCTAAATTAATACACTGATATTATTGCTTCTATCCGCAGCAGGAATCCAGTAGTTTAACTGGCAGACCTAGAAACAATATATAATAAAAATTAAAAAAAGATTTAAGCTGTTTTATGTATAAACTTTGTGTATATTACATAAATACACATAATACAAAACAATGCTTAACCAAATTGCTGCACAAGAAAACAAAATCACCAGGGCACAGGTTATAATGTGGAACATAAGACGTGTCCTGGTATTTGGGGGTGACTGCAGAAGGAGGACCCTTATTGCAGTGTGTATAGAGTGTCTATCAATCCTAACCTCCATTCACAAAGCCTCCCATATAGAGAAATAATAATAAGAAAGTGGAAAAATAAAAATCAAGAAAGATAAGAGAGCAAGATGTGGATGCTCAAACCCACAACGTCCCACATCTATATCACCTTTCACTGCCTCCAGACAGCTGTGGGAAGGTAACTGCTCTCAGGACCAAGATCAAGAACTTTGGGGTGAAGCACTTCCCTCAAGGATATTCAGGAATTGAGATCCCTCTTCATCCACCTTAGAGATTTACTTAAGGGGAGAAAGGTAGGAATTGTAGATGCCATGACGGGTGAGGATACGGTAGGCAACTGGTAGTAGAGTTTACACTGATGGGTAGAGAGAAGGCGGGAGAGCATGGATAAGGCCAGAGAGAAGCCAGAAAGCAGAGTGCAAAAGCTGAAGAATGGGAGAGAACTGAGGTTTGTAGATGGTTATTAGAATAGGTTTTTTCACACTCATACTCATGAATGGCTTTTGCTGTTGGCTTCTTGGCAGATTGGGATTATTTGACTTGATTACAGTGGATCTTCATCCATGATGCAAAACATGATGTTTTTAGTGCCACTTCAGATTATCTATCTTCCCACATTTTAAATGTCACTGCACTTAGTTTGCTATTATCACATTTCACATAACACAGGGTTTGTTTGTTGTAGTTACTGGTTTTGGTGGCACAGATCATATGGAGAAGCATTCTTTGCCACCCAAGAAGAGTATTGTTTAGTAGATGGAAAGATGAGGCTAATACATTTCTATGTTTTGCTTTTCTAAAATAATTCTTGCTGAGTAGCACAAGAATCCGTCTTTGATGTAGGGTAGTTTAATTCTCTTATGTGGGTGTAACTGGGTGGTTTGGTTATTACTCTGGCTGCTTTATTTTGTTTTGTATTCTTTGCAGTTTGAGGTAATTGCTATCTAACATTTTTAGTATTGCAGGGAATCCATATTCTAAGATTGGATGTACCAGTGTTTTGTATATTGACAGTTTTATGTGTTTTTTTGTTTTGCTTTCAGTGCTTGATATGGCTTTTTTTTATGTTTATGATGTGGTATTTCCAGGTATTGTATGTAATTCCTAGAATTTTAGCCAATGTTAACATTTTCCAATGCTGAAAATGTATTTCCGATAGATACATCCACTCACATATAATTTTCCTGATTCACTGCTGCCCTCTATGTGTGAAAGTTTTCGCTCACCACTAGCCTTGAGGCTAAATTTGCATGTCTCCAAGTGATACTGTTGCACTGTTGCATGCAAGTGAGCATGTGACAACCCTACACCAATAGGAGTGCAACACATGCTCCTAGCACAGCTGACTTCCTCTATACTGTTTGCTCAATCATCACTGAGCTTAGACAAGAAAAGATGCACTGGAAGTGGGAAGGAAGGGTGGGAATTGAATGAGGGTGAGTATCTATCAAAAATAACTTTTCAGTATTGGAAAATGTTAACTTCTGATATGATACATTGATAGAATGGGGGGAAAGCCAGCCCTAGTGGTGAACTGTAATACATGGACAGAATGCCACTACTATATTCTCCACTGTTTGGAGTTGGTCATACTCAGGAGGCAGCTTCCATGGTCCACCACTCCAGTGGCAAGGAACTGGTAGGTGACAAGGACTCTCACACTCCAATAGAAGAAAAAGAGGAGTGAAAGCACATTGGAGAGCCTGGAAGAATACATCAATGTAAGACAGTGCAACAAGTGACTACAAAAACTCTATCTTTAAAAGCTGGCCAGCACTAGATTTTAAACTAGGCATAAAGGATTGGCAGGTATCATGATAGTCCATGAGTGGGTAAGGTCTTGATTGGGCCTTAGGAGAAACAGCACTGTAAGGATACCTCAAACAGTCTTGTAAAACACCCCATCTCATGAATGAGTGCTATATCACGCTGTGGTGGCCCTACAATGTGTAGACTTTGGTTAAATATATCCCTGGCAGCCAACACTTGCCATCGAGTGTGATCCAGTAAGACATGAGATGGCCCTGTAAAATTAAGAAAAAGAACTTAACCAGTCAGAGACAGTAAGAGCTGTGGAGAAAAGCAACTGGAGATAATCCACAGCCCAACAAAAAAATCAAAAAACAGCCAAATGATGGAGACAGTGTATAACAAAAGGTGTGAGAGGTTCTCCACATGCCAGCCCAAATAATCCCTTACAATGGACAAATGAAGTAAGCAGTCAAAGAGTGCATAAAGTGACAAGTATGAAGAGAGGACACCTGGAATCTCCGATGTGAATCCATGTCCAACGGAGAATAAGCTAACAGATTAGCTGATGAATCCATCGAGAGAAGGTAATGGGAGAAAGAGCATGAGTGAAAGAAGTAATCAAAGGAAGGAAAAGACTAAGAACAATGAAAAGGAGAAGTGCAGGCTTAATAACAATGGAACACATGGGCATGATGGAGAAGGTAAACAGGATCTGAGCAAGCAGACAGATGAGAAATAAAAGGAAGAGAGACGTGTGAATGTGCAGTCCCCCTCACATGCCATAGAAGGCTGAGGGAAAAAAGAGCAATCAGGATGGAGAATGGTATATGAACAATGAAAAGGAATGCATGAAGAATTTATGGCATACATATCAGAAAGTCAAAGAATAAAAGTGAAAGGATGAGGAAACAGACTTTAAGGGAGAGATGACAGAAGGAACCATTATAGAAATAAAAGCTCAAATTAGTAAGCTAATATTAGCAGCACAGCAGACAAATACTAGAATAAAATCCCTTCCAACTTGTTTAAACTAATATGACTCTTATCCTCCACCCATATTATAATTTTTAGATACTCTTCTGCCTTTGAAATGAGCTTCTATACTGATGTATATATCAAATACTATTTCAGTTTGTTGCAACCATGAATACTTTATCAGTTCAAGCATGGAGTATTTACATGTTGCACTGTAAAACCCTAATGACTAAATATCAAAAATCTTAAAGTACTCGAACAAATATGTATATATATGAATTTAGTATACACCATTCCTGACAAAAGGGAACTACCAATGGTATTTTATTGATGTATATGTGACATTTTTACTAAAAAAGCTTATGGATATAAATACTTTTGTCCCAAAATAAACAATTTTCTAAATCTGAGAATGGCAAGTATAATTTTAAGAAGGACAATTGGATTTTTCTACCTTTTTTGTCCCTTAGACAAAAAGCTTTTTTCAAAATTGCTCAGTACTGATATATCAACAGTATCCTTACCCTGATGAAGATCCATCCCCAACAGGATGGAGCTGCATAGTCAATTCTCCCAGTTTAGTGAAAGCTGCTCCAGCAGCTGTGAAGATTTCTCCAACCTATTTTGAAACCAGTTTTATATTATTATTATTGTACTATAATTTATCACAACATTAATTCTCCTTAGAGGCTTGCTGAAAAAAACCCTTAAGTGAAGTTTATACAGAAAAAGACCTGATTATAACTAACAAATTCTCTAAAGCATTTTAGAAAATGTAAGCTAGCTTGTAATAAGGCACACAGAATTCTAGGTTGTATACATATCAAGTACAAGTCAAAGGATGTCATCAGTCCACTCTACAACTGTTTAAACCTTATTTGGAATATTAGGGACAATTTCAGTTGTTTAGTTTTAATCACCTTATCGAAGAAAGATGTTGAATTGTTGGAGAGGGTTCAGAGATGAACTACAAGGTTGATCCATATTTAAAGGGATAAGTTGAAATCCCATTTGTGCTGTAAAGGAGAAATGCATTAGGGATCTAAAAATTATGTACCAGGAATACCTAGGTAACCAAAAACTCTGATGATTCTACTGGGTGGAGTGTAACAACTCCTGCAGTTACGTCCAGATGAAACATGAATGCAAAAAAAAAAGTGCATCTTCAAAATGCACAATGTGCATCAAAACAATTTCTGTATAAAAGCAGATGGCATTTCCATGAAAAAAATTTTTAAGCAGTAAGACCATAAAACACCAGTTTACCTTTATCTATATGGCAAGGTCTAAGTGCACATTATGACTTTTTACAAAGTTACATTAAAAATTTAATTTAAACGTTATTATTATTAATGTATGTCAATAAAATTGGCATCAAAATGTAGTTCACAATTCAAATTTTTATATTATCTAATTTTGATTTCTTAATTTCAAAAGGAATTATTCAAAAAAATTCTAAATATTCACTTGTTTCTTATAACATGTCTGCACTCTGAATCCCCCTTTAGATTTTACAACTTCAATAATACAGCTTCTATTATGTCTAACCAACTAGAAGCACAAAATACATAATTAAAAGCAAAAATTTTAAATCTGAGCTTCCTATTTTCATGACTAGAGATATCAATAAATCTGTCAACTTGTCAAATACAACAGAGTAGCCCCCTCCCATCCTTCTATGATTTCAAGGCAATATATATAATAAAGTGTACACAAATGAAGGACATGTTCATAACAAATGGAAAGAGCAGATTCTCCTCTACTTAGGCCTTACAATCCTTTGTTAATTTTTGGCAGTAAAAGAAAATAGTTGAGAAGAGTGCAATTCAACCTACTTATAGCTCAGATAGAAAGCCAGGTAAATCATAGTAGTTTTGGATATTCTGTTCTACTGACTGATATATTTTTGGGTTCTAAGATGCATATTTGAAAGGTTTTTTTTTTGGTTGTGACAACAAACTCAAAAGAGAAAAATGAGAGCCTAGCAGAGTTATGCCTGCAAGTCCAAAGTTTGAATAGTTCACACGTGAAGAACATGCAGTGTATGACAAACTGCTGTGTTCCTACCAATTTATTACTCATCTCAGATAGATAAAATGCTTCTGTGGTACAAACCATACTAAAAACCATAAAATAAACAAAAATAAAAAATAGATGTGATTTTTACTGTTGTTAAAAAAAAGTAAAAATGGT